CTTTCTTACTCAGCCCGTTTTCCTATTCAGGCTTTCAATGGATTAGATGAAGTCTACCTTCTTTGTGCCTGTTTTATCATCAACTGATTCAAATGCTAATATCATCTAGAAATACTCTCACAGACACATTCAGAAATAATGCTTAACGAATATCTGGGCACCCCATGGCCCAGTCAAATTCATGCATACAATTAACCATCGCAAATCCCAAAGCATTCTGAGCCCCAGACTGAAAACAAGACAGTGGTCATCTGTACTGGGGAAGAGTCAAGAGATCGGAGAGAGATGACCTCTTTGAAGCTCAGAGACTGCTGACGTTTGAGGTTAGGGTGGGAAAACAGAGAGAAAACCCACAATGAACCCAGCCTTATGCTGCATAGGAGGCAGCAGCTGCCTGTGGTTACTGGTGGGGAAGAGGAGAGCAGGAGAGCTGAGACGCCTCCTATGGCGCAGGAGCGCTGGGCCTGGCGATGGGTGCAGGCAGGGCAGGAGAACTAAGACAAACCCTCCTGGCACTCAGATCTCAATCCCGACTAGAGGAAATATGATCTTGCTATAATAATATAACAAATGAAATTTAACGAAAATAACAGCAAAGCCTGGACCCACCTCAACTGCGGCCTAGATTGGCTCCAGTCCTTCACACTGGTGGCATGAGAGAAGATAGATGACCTATTCTGGGCTTATCTGCTAGTTACTTTAGTCTATACCATCCTTTTATACATAACATCTGTGATTCAATAAAAAATTACAAGTATATGAAAAAGCATAAAAAATGACCTATCTTCAAAAGAGAAAATGGTCAAAAGAACCAGATGCAGAGATTGCTCAAAGACAATCTTTGTTCATACATGTGTGAACAAATGGGAAATGCAGGAGTGAAAAGTAAACTCTAAAATAATAAAATTCAAATAGAAGTGTCAGAAATGAAAAATATATCAGAAATAAAGACTTCTTTCAATGGACTTATCAGCAAACTGGAACTGCTGGTAAAAGAATAAGTGAACTTGAAGCCAGATCAATAGAAAATATCCAAATTGGAGCATAAGGAGAAAAAAGACATAAGAAATAAAACAAAAGCACTCCAGTTATTATTGTTGTAAGGAAAAAAATCACTGCAAACTTATAGATGTAGACTCACATGTACAGAGCCAACGGATTTTTTCCCAAAGATGGCAAAGCAATCCCATGGGAGAAAGAAAGCTGTTTTCAGGAAACGATGCTAAAACAATTGAATATCTATACGGAAAATTAAAGAACCTTAATCCATCCCTCATAATATACACAAAAATTAATTTGAGATGGATCATAAACCTAAAAGTAAAAGTCAAAACTATAAAGCTTCAAGAAGAATATTTGCATGATATTGAGTTAGACAAAGCTCCTTAGACAAGACCAAGAAAGCACTAACCGTTAAAGAAAAATTGATAAATTGAACTCGGCAAAATTAAAAACTTCTGCTCTGCAAAAGACATCAATAAAAAATGGGAGAGCCACAAAGTGTCAGAAAATATTGACAATGTATATGTCTGACAGAGGAATTGCATCCTGAATATATAAATAACTCAAGTTAATAGTAAAATGACAAAAAACTAAATTTTCCAAAATGGTCAAAAGACTTTGATAGGCACTTCTCAAAGGAAGATATATTTACAATACAGATATCTGACAAAGAACTGATGTCTAGAAAATGTGAATAACTCCTACAAATCCGTAATAAGACGAACTATCAAATTAACCAGGCAAATGATCTGAACAAACACTTCACTCTCTCTCTCTCTATATATATAATCTAACTGTATGCTTATGATCTGTGCATTTCAATGCATGTACCTTAATACAAAGGAAAAAAATGCTGCTCACTTTTCCCTAGGACTGGTTTATAAGTAGCTGCTAGTAAGTATGAGACAGAGAGGTAACTACACCAGGAGTAACCAAGCCAGTAATTAAGTCAAGTCATTGCTGTTTGGTGACTGAATCTTTGAAATCTGCTCCAAAAACTAGTATAAGACAGGGCTCTGGACTGGAAGCACAGGGTCTTCTTGGAGGCATGTGCCAAGCAGAGAGAAGTAAGCATAGAGGAAGAAAGAAGGAAATGAAAGACTTCTTACTTGAAGGAAGACTTGCTACTCAAAATGAGCCTGCAGAGTTCCAAATCACAGAAGAATTCAAATACCAATAAAGGCAGCTAACAAAATCAATATTCAGAACATAAATTTACCCAAATATAATTAACCTCGTAAAGTAGTGCAACACTGACTTTAAAATAAGTATTCTGAGGATTCTCAATGAGAGATCTAAAGGAATCATATCCACTAAAAAATTGAAAAAAATCTTCAATGATATTTTAAAATACTGGTATAAAAACAAAATCGGTAAACATGCAAAAGAATCAACTGTAAATGATTTATACAGTCATCGAGATAATTATTTAAAACACCTCAATTGACTATGTAGTCTAAATTAGACTCAAAGAATGAATTAGTGGATTTGAAGACAGTGCTGAGAAACCCACCCAGAATACAGCATACAGAGACAAAGATGATGAGTTTCTAAAACATGAAAGGACAGTTACAAGACATGAAAGATAGACCAAGAAGCTCCAACAGGAGCCCCTACAGGGCACTAGCAGAGATACAATAGCTGAAGAAATAATAAAATGATTTTCCAAGACTGAAGAAATGTCTGAATCCTCAGATCAAAAGTACATTCTGTATACTGAGCAAGATAATAAAAAATAAATCCATATCTAGACCAGAGTAATGGATCTGAGAAGCACCAAGAATAAAGATAATCCCTTAAAAGTCACCAAGGAGAAAGGACAGCTAAACTGCAAGGGAACAACAATTACCTGCCTGGGCAGTAGATTCCTACCATGCAACAGGAAACGCCAAACAGCAATGGCGCATCCGTCACACTTGAATATTACATTCAGCTAAACTAGTACTTGAAGGTGAGGGCAAAAGAAAGCTATGGTTAAAGATACAGAGCGTAAAAGATTTTATCACCTGTAGACTTTTGCTATAGGAACTTTTAAGAGATTGCTTTAGCAATAAGAAATGTAATTTAAAATGTATTATTTTTTGTGCAGTCCATTTCTTTTGTATCCTGTGTTTCTGTTTCCCAAGAGAGGAAACAGGATAAAATAAAGAAGAAACACAGGTACAAAATAATTAGCACAAAAATTGATAGAATTTACTACCATATTTTAACTGTTTTGACTGTTTAAAGTTACCTTTTATGTTAAAAAGAGAAGGTAAAAGTTACTTGGGTTTTTCTCTCTCTCCTTCGGTGTGATTATGTTATTGATTTGAAACACAGGTTCATTTGTTTTTATTTGTATTCTTTTTAAAAATGTGTTTGCTTGTTTTAAGTACATGTGTGAAAACAACATGGTTCTAAAACTCAGAGTAGTTCTAAAGTTCAGAACTATTCAAAAAGCTTCACCCAAAGAAGCGGCCCTCCCCGTCTCTTCTACCCTGTATTTTCCACTCTGTTTCCACTCACCCCCTTTGCATAACCAATCTCATTGATTTCTAGTCTATCCTTCCTGTGTTTCTTTCTCCACAAATAAGCGGACACACACACGTATTTCCTTATTTCTTCTTCTTTCTTATACAAAAAGTGGTTACAGTGGAGGTCACCTGAATTCATTAAATATTCAATAGCTTTGAATCTCAAAAGGAAAAGTTTGAAATCTCAATCATTTTCTTCTGGCCGGGCGCGCTGGCTCATGCCTGCAATCCCAGCACTTTGGAAGGCAGAGGCGGGTGGAACTCCTGAGCTCAGGAGTTTGAGACCACCCAGGGCAACATGGTGTAATCCTGTCTCTACTAAAAATACAAAAAAAATTAACCGGGTGTGGTGGGGCAAGACTCTGGTCCCAGCTACTTGGGAGGCTGAGGCAGGAGAATTGCTTGAGTCCCAGAGGTGAAGATTGCAGTGAGCCAAGATCGCACCTCTGCACTCCAGCTTGGGCTACAGAGTGAGACTCTGTCTCAAAAAAAAAAAAAAAAAAAAAAAATCATTTTCTTTTTAGAAGTTAATTGTGGGCAGGCTGATTTATTTTGCAAATTTGCCAATCCTGACTTCAAGAACATTCAAATGCATTAACCAATGGGAATGTAGGGAAAGAGGGCTCCACCCACTTACAGAGGGTAGGATATGGCCTCATACTAGACAAAATGTTATTCGATGCTACTTTCAAGATTATAGGGGATGGGCCTGGATTTAGTTGATGGCTGTTATGGTGACCTTTAAATAAATGAGATTCAAAGTGACCTGATGTCTTACATTGCTTGAACCAGCTTTCATGAAATAGTATTCTTATCGGGGGTGGGCCCATCATTCCATATGATCAAGGAAACATCGTTTTGAACAGAGATCCTGTAATCATCCTTACAAACTACACTTCAACATTGGATTGGATTAGCCACATTTGAGGATCTCACTTTTTATGTCTTCATAAATTTAAAATGTTGAAAAAGTCAGAGGCAAGGGAAGACATTTACACTACTTCACAGTAGACCTCCCTCAACATGGGCTATATATCCATTAGTAAATATTCTATAGCTATTGTTCTGCAACAAACCAGACAAGATCCTACAGTCTTACTATCCTTCTATTCTTGGCCCTATCTTCCCCAAGGAGTTACACATATTCTAGATAGTCTAAATTAAGAGCAACTCTCATCATACTCTTTTTGAGTGTTTAATTATCAAGCAACAGTCTAACTAAGCCAAAAGTATTTCTCTTTTTGGGAGTGGAAATGGAAGCTAAGTTGATTGACCCACAGGAACAAGAGGGAACATGCCATTATATTTTAACCAGTGTGTAAAGAAGGCTGTTATGCAATCAATGATCTGGGTCTTCCTCTTCAGAGAAATTTGTTGTACAGAAAATTGCTGTTGGGATGAAGCTTTGCAGTCTTGCAGTCCTTGTACCCATTGTTCTCTTCTGTGAGCAGCATGTCTTCGCGTTTCAGAGGTAACCCAATAGAATCCTAGACTGTGGTGGGCCACTCTCCTCACTTGTTTGCCACATGTCGTGTTAAGTCAGTGCACTGAGTTGGTGGGCAAAACGGTAAAATTTGAAGGCCAGGTCTTCCAGAACTTTCCAAGTTGCCCTGACAAATAAGTAGACTTTAGCATAATGGGCTATCACTAAAGACAGGGTCTTTTTTCTTTCCTGGCTCTGGTTTTATTATTGGGAGAACGTTGGATGATATGCATATCCAGTGACTATGAATATTCAAGAAATTAAATCTTTTATAAACATAATTATTTATATTCTAGCTTGATGTATGATTCATATTCTTCCTGTCTTCACATAAAAAAAAGTTAACTATGGATCATTTATTTTCTCCTTGTACATGGAACACAGGAGGAAGAAGAGGGTGAAGTGTTAAATAGGAAGTTTGGATCATGCATGATTATTTAGCATGGACTATGAAAGGAAGAAGAGTTGTGTGATAAAGAACTATTATCTAATTCTTATTTTGCTTAGTAGACTCCCTCAGGATAAACTATCTAGAAGAACACAAATGAACTCATGCAATGCATGGAGCGAATAGTTCCAGGGTACATGTAAGGTAATTTATTAAGTAGTCAGTTTTTAGGCTTTAAAACATTGATATTGTTTCCTTTGGAATTATCTTCTTTTTCCCCTTTGTTTTGGTTCTACGATCGCTTTCTCCTTCAATTATCTTTGAGACAGATCCCTCTCCTCATGTTAGTAAATGACAAAGAAAGAAGAGACATAGGGCAAAGGAATGTACCAGGGACACTTTTTCTACCTCCCAAAAAAGTTCGTAGTCATAAATAACCATAGGACAACAGTTTGGAAAATAGATCTTACCTTGTGAGCCTGAAGCTGTGTTTGTACATGATCCCTGAACTGATTATAGTTGATTGATCTTCTTTTGTTCAATATGATTGTCAAATGTCGAGCAACAAATTCTGTCATAAAATAATGGTTGTTATTTAATCGACATAGGGGTCAAGATTGCTGCATTGATCAGAAATGTCTTTCTCTGTATTTTATTGGTGAATCATATGGTCAGGATTTCTAAGGTTCTTGTTAGTTCTAATATTCTATAACTTGATGATTGGCTTCAATTAAGGGAAAGGGGGAGAAGAGAAAAATTGGTATCAACATGTCCAACTTGGCTACTGTACACACTGGCAGTACCATTGACAGTGAGGGGAAAGGGAGGAAACCTCTGCTTACTTAGTGCCTGTGTTTGTGCCAGGCACTCAGCTAGTCACTTAGAAATGTTATCTCTTTAAATGCACAAAATCCTACATGCTAGGAATCTTTACTGACATTTTACAAAGGAGGAAACTGAGCCTCAGGAAGAATAAATCATTGGCCCAAGATCAAACAGTAAGTGTAGAGCTTGGATTCAAACCCACTTGAGCCTCATTTCAACTCTGTGCACTGCACAGCAGTGCCTCTATAAAATCTGGAAAGTAGGAAGAGAGCCAGTTTGAAGGGAGGTCAGATTTAGTCAAAGGGAGTTGGAGGCAACAGTTGGTTTTGGAATGTAGCTTGGAAGAGAGGTTCAGGATTGGAGGTCCAGTTTCATGGTCCTCACCCCCTAGCAGATCTAATCATGGCCTTAGCGTCAGCCCAGTGCAAGTATCCTCAGCTGGTTGTTGCAGAGGTTGGCGGGCAGGTGGACTCACTGCAGACCGCCATCTTGATCATAGAGTAACTCAAACTCTTAGATCGGATAATCAATAGCAAAACACACCAAAAGCTTTAGCACATCTCTTCAAATGAGTACGTGTATAGCAGCTTAGTGACACTAAATATAATGCAAATAAAAGAAGTAGCCAAAAATAAAATAGTAAAAAAATGAGTGAGAAAATATCTTCATGCATGGGTTTTCTTACTATTTGTTGCTTCAACTTATACTCTGAAATCTGACTGATACTTATGCTTGAAGAAAGAAACAAGAATGTGACTATATTTTAACCACAGAATATCACACTAAAAATATTTAATACTTTTGTATACTGCGAGGGTCCCTTTGTAGGGCAGGGGAGGTAGGAGGACCTCAGTATTGTAGACAGATGAATATTTGAATCCTGGTTCCCATCCCTTCACTAGAAATAACACTGCAAATTATTCTTTCTGTGAGTAAAAATAAATTTTTGTAGCAAATGTTTCTGAGCTCCACTTTTCCAGGAATGGCTTATTACTGAAGCTAAAAAGGAAATCTAATTTCACTCAGAGCAACAGACTTTGACAAATTATTGCCGGTGTTGAGAACATAAACCCTTCTTAAAAAAAAAAAAAAAAAAAAAAAAAAAGCGAACACTCTGGCTTTTTCTTAAACCTGTTCTTTGTTATAATATTTTTTCCATGATCATTTTCCTAATAACAGTTTTTATTCATGTAGTCTCTTAGTGGCTGATTTGTAGGTTCATTTTGATCAATTTCATCAGTGAAATGCCCTGGAACAACGACAACAGGTTTTAAAGGCATAAATGTCATATGCCAAAGACAAAGGCAGCCAAAAAATCATGACTCCCTATTCATTTGCTTTTAAAAACCAAACACCATAAAGGGTGAAAATAAAATACCAGCAAGAATCTTGTAAACAGAGTCAGTAACTGTATTGTGCAGTGATTACCTAAATGCAGCCTGCCAGCCCAGGCTATTTGGAAAGAGGAAGTAAGATAAACTAGGAAGAAAGAATTAGAGAGTGGAAGAGGATTGAGGATAAAGGGCTTTTGAATTATTAATAGACCACAGCAAGTTTTGCTTCTGTTGACTTCACGTACTATCTGGGTACCTGGAGACCAGTTTACTCTCTTTCACTTAGCTCCTACTGATGTATTGTTTTCATCTCAAAGAACAGGCCACCAGTGGCCTTAGAACACTGTAATGTGTATAACAAAATTGTAGCCTTGGGCTATGTTCCATTGTTCAGAGACATCTTGCCAGCTTTTTAAATTCAAAATAATCTTTCAGAACATGAAAATGTGAACCCTCCCCTGTAAACCACAGTAGGGAATACACCCCAATGAACATAATCGCATTCTCAGAAGGGAAGGAACAGAGGAAGTGTCGCATAGGTATTAAAAGCTCAGGATCTAGACTCGAGCCCCAGATCTGCTACTTACCACCAGTGCAGCCTTGGGCAATTTGCTCATCCCCTTTGAGCCTCACTTTACTTTTTGTGTAAAGTGACCTGTTACTTCATTGTGCTTGTACTTCTCATTCTATTTTTGGTGTAAGGCTGTTCTTTTTTCTCAAGTGGTTATTGTGTAAGTGCTATAATTGTATCATTCAGAGACGCAATTGAAACACAGCTGTATTTTTGTCTCCCTTAGCCCCATGACATTTTGCGTAGTGGGGTTATCTATCACTGCTCTTGCATGGCAAGTTAGAAAATTTCAAGGCTTTTTAGCCTGCTCTTAAGCGACAGTCCTTGGGTCCTGCTAAAAATACAAATAGCCTCAATTTAGAAATTAGAATGTCAGTTCCATCTTTGTTGTTAAAAGAAAATCTTTAAACGAATTATATTTAGCAAAGTTTAATTGAACAAAGAACAATTTTCTAATCAAGTAACCCTCAAAAACGCAAGAAGTTCAGAGAGTTCTGCTCAGCTAGGTGGGCAGGCAGCGTTTACAAACAGCAAATGGAAATGAGGTCCAGAAGCAGCTTGAGTAGTTACAGGTGAGCAGTTGTCTTACTGGGCAAGGGCTGATCAGTTGGCCACATGGGATTGGCTGTAGCTTGGCTGCTGTGATTGGCTGAGGCTCACCTCGTTAGTACAAAAAAAAAAAAAATACTCCTAAGTTAGGTTGCAGTTTGTCATGTACACACTCAAGTTACGAGGCATCCTCAGACCAAATTTAGTTTAATTTAACATTATTTACAGGAAAACCACTGCCTCACCTCTTTCACACATACACACACACCTTACTCTTTTTCTCGTTAGTCTTTTTCTCAAGTTCTAACTTCTTAGAGTTGTGTGAGATATCTTTATTGGGGAAGCCTCTGGACCAGGACAGATGCTTCCTTGTCCAGGTGTTTACTTGTGACTCCATCCTTCACCTCTACGAGTCTTATTTCTACCTCTGGGCTCTTGCTGCTGAGAACCTTCCATCCCTTTAGGTGGTCCTATGGGACGGCATCTAACATTAAGTGTTTCTTTCCATTTTAACAACTACTATCTAGCCAACTAGAGACCAGCCACATGCAGGTTTAGCTTTATCAGGAGAAGTCAGGCACCAGTCTTTCCGTCTGTAAATTGAGGAAACATTAAACTCTCTCATTCTCTCCTGGAAGTCCCCCTACTAGGCTGAGGTGAAGGGAGTACACCCCGAAATTTCATCCCTTTGGGAGGGTGGTTTATTACAGAACCATAACAACTTGCTAAAAAAAAAAATCACAAATCCTCTCCTTCTTTCCATTCTAACAGCTTTTTATATAGCCTGTCTATGACTAAGTAAGGGGAAGCAGTCATGAAACCAGTTTCCAAAAATAGAGTGATCTGACCCTCATCCCATTACCTAACTCTGTTGTGTTAGCACTTTGCTCAAATTCCGCATAAGAAGAGTCTGTTCACTACAAGCTGAACTTGGACATATCAATACATTTTTGGTGAATTTTTAACTTCATAATTGTACTCACTATTTCCTAACTTATTTTTTGAATTTCCTTATTTTTTTCTTCTTAAGAAAGAGGCCTCATTTGGATAATATACATTTTTACCTTTATATTTTCTTTCTTTCTCTGCTTGTTGACTACTTTTTGGACTTTTCTCCTTTAATACATTAGGATTTTTTTTTTTTTTAGTTTAATACTGTCTACTCAGCATGTTTTCCTTCCTTCCTTTCTTCCTTCCTTCCTTCCTCTCTCTCTCCCTCTCTCCCTCTCTCTTTCTCTCTTTCTCTCTTTCTCTCTCTCTGTCTTTCTTTCTTTCTTTCTTGACCTAGTCATACTCTGTTGCCCAGGCTGGAGTCCAATGGTGTGATTTTGGCTCACTGTAACTTCCACCTCTGGGGTTCAAGTGATTCTCATGCTTTAGCCTCCCAAATAGCTGGGACTACAGGTGTGAGTTACTACACCAAGCTTATTTTTGTGTTTTTAGTAAACACAGGGTTTCACCATGTTGGTCAGGCTAGTCTTGAACTCCTGACCTCAGGTGATCCACCCGCCTCGGCCTCCTAAAGTGCTGGGATTACAGACGTGAGCCACCGTGCTGGGCCCATTATTTTCAATATAATAGATTATCTACCATACTGCCTTGTGAGGATTAAATAAGAATACCTGTAAAGCACTTAGCAAAATATCCAAGTTAGTAAATATCAGTAAAAAAGAAGAAAAGTCCCTCCAAACATCTTATATTCTAGTCAACACAAGACTTCCTCTACATGGACTTGAAATTTAGCTTCTGTTTAGATAATGGAGAGCTCATTGCTTGATAAGTTGTCCTATCTCATGGTTAGCTCAAATTGTTAGGAAGTTCACACTGAAATTACAGTGATTTAATCATATGAACCTCCACTTCTCCATACTTTCCATGAAAAGGAAGCTTTGAGTTTGCCACATCTTTTGTTAAAACTCCCAGAATCATGCCCAACCAACTTGTAAGTAAAGGCCATAATCTTGACCCCAGCATTTAAGACCCTGAACAATCAGGTCCTACCCTGCCATTTGTCCTGGCTTTATTTCCTGGTATATCTCGATATAGGCCCCACGTTTCCCCCCAGCTGGATCACTTCCCTTCCTTGAGCTCTGATTTTACTTTTCTACTTGTGCACCTGCACTTATGATGTTTCATCTCCAATTCATTTAGCGAAATTCTGCCTATGTTAGTCTTATGCCATCTCATCTCCACTTCACCTATCAAATCCCACTATCTCAGAAGTCCAACTCTGAATATCTCCATTCTCTGACTACCTAAGCCAAAAAAGATATTTGACTTTGTATTCCTGTAGCAGAATATTTATACCACTCGCATTGCACTGTTAGTGTTTTATCTCACAGAACAGGCATTTGTATCAGTTGCAGGTTAGTTTCCCCAGGAAACAGACTCTGCGATGAAGATTGCATGGAGGAAGTTTACTGGAAAGGAGTCTCAGGATCAACATCTGTGGAGGAATGAAGGAAGGAGGCTTGGGCAGAGGAGAAATTGAACTGTGATGTAGTCACAACTATGGCCTCACCTGTTCCTGCAGAGAGCCTTGAGGCTGGGTTGGCCTGGTAAAGTTGTCCCAAACTGGGGCAAGCAGGCATGCCTTTGTAACCCCTGTTTATTAATCACTGGGTGTGGATTGTACCTTGGAGGAGGCATCATGTTGGGCAACACAGCTCTCTTCAGGCAAGGGCAAGTCCTAGAAAAGGACTCAGGTGAGAATGGCAGCTGCCAACCCTCCCAGAAGGTGAGGACATGAAGAAGCTGAGGAAATGAAGAAGCTGAGGACATGAAGAAGCTGAAGACATGAAGAAGCTGAGGACATGAAGAAGCTGAGGAAATGAAGAAGCTGAGGAAATGAGGGTGCATCCCTGGATGGAGATCTAGGCAGCAAAACATGACATCTACTACAATCCAACCCTTTGTGTCACTCAGGTCAATTTTCCTCATAAAATAAGCTTTGAGATCAACTCTTCTGGGATTCTGCTTGGTCTCTCTTCCTAAAGAAAACATACAAGAGGAAAGTTAGTGAAATAAACTACAACCTTCACGTTATAGCTAGTCTTGAGGCCGTAACCAATACTTGTCATTCCTCTTCTCCCCTGCCCAGTCTGTTTCCCCCTCACCCTTTGCTAGCACCTCTTCTACTCTAGGTGGTTTACCTGGTGAGACAACCCAGAGCCTCAGCCCTCAGGATCTGAGTCATAGTCACTGGGCCCTCTTGGGCCATGGCTGCTGCAATTGTCTGTATACATCAAATATGGACGAGGAAATATTACAGAATGCCTAAGCTGGATGCCACATTCAGTATGTAAGTGCAGCCCTCAATGTCCTTCTGATGACTGGAGTCAAATACCCTTCCTGCATGGCTAGAAAGCCCCTGGTAACTCCTCTCCTTCCTGATCATCGATCAACATGAGGAAACTGAAATGACTGGACAGGAACAACAGCTTTCAGTTTAGAGGAACTCTTCCTATGCTTTCTGGAAGCCAGAACTTTTAAAAGTACAGAGTCCATATTTGTAGATTTAAAGTACTAATTCTCCAAGTGGGTTACCTGGAGTGATGGTAAACGGAAACACTCCAACTTGGTTCCTGGAACCATGTATACTACCTAGTAGGGACACAGCACCATATGAGTATTGATTTAAAGTGTGTACTGGAGGATGTTGCCTTCCAAGTTAGCACCTCAATTGATCCTTCAACAAACCATTTGTATTGCAGTATCAGGCTAGCAGCAAGTTGGTATTGTGGTAGGTGAGAGGCTAAGTGGATTCCATGGTAATGGACCCATTTCTGCAATTTCCTTGTTGTAAAGTGCAGCCCGTGATCTGATAGGATGTTATGTGAGCTCTTGTATCAGTGGGTCAAACTCTCTGCAAGCCCTTGTATGGTGATGCTTGCCTGAGGCCCTGCGGGCAGGAGAGACAAACCCATACCCAGAGTGGCAGAGGACAGATGTAGTCAACTTACCACCAAGTGACTAGCTGGTCTCTTTGAGGAATGGTGCTGATTCTGGGGCTCAACTTTGGTCTCTGTTGATGGCAAGTTAGACATGGGGCAGCAACAGTAGCTAGATCAGCCTTAATGAGAGGAATCTGTGCTGCTGGAGCCATGCACACTTCATCTCTGCCATCAGGCTATTCTGTTCAAGTGCCCTTTGTGCCAGCATTGGGGTGGCTGTTGACACAGGCTGACTGACATCAACTGGCTGAGTCATTTTGTTTATGCAGTTGTTTAATGTCTATTCTGTTGTGGGTGCTCCTGGTTAGGCATTAATAAGTGATACAAAGACCTTCACACTTTCTGCCTACTCCCATAGTTCCATTCACATCCCCCTTTCTCCAATCTCTTTATCTCCAATCTGTCAATATTTCTTCTTCCAGGTTCTTGAGGGGTTTTCCAGTCATGTCACTTGCCACTATCCATGAATTCCTGCATATTCTAACACTGGAAACACCTTTTCCACACAAAGTGTATGATGAGATGCAACACTGAAGCTCTGCCTATTTGGGACGATTGCCCTCTCTGCTCTCTTTCGGTCACCCGAGTGAGTCCATAATGCAGAACCCCTTACATTTTTTTTTCTTTTTTGAGATGGAGTCTCCCTCTGTCGCCCATGCTAGAGTGCAGTGGCATGGTATCAGCTCACTGCAACCTCTGCCTCCTGGGTTCAAGCAATTCTCCTGCCTCAGCCTCCCAAGTAGCAGGCATTACAGGTGCCCGCCACCACGCCCAGCTAATTTTTTGTATTTTTAGTAGAGATGGTATTTCACCATGTTCGCCAGGCTGGTCTCGAACTCCTGACCTCAGGTGATCCACTCACCTCGGCCTTCCAAAGTGCTGGGATTACAAGCGTGAGCCACCGTGCCCAGTCCACTTCATTTTTTACTTGCACCCATGCACTATCAACTTGACTGTCCATGTATCAGACTTCCTCTTCCTACTTGTGTCAGTTGTGATCCTCTGAGAAGCAGACACCAAGATGGGATTAGCTGTGCAAGAGGTGTGTTGGGGAAAATGCTTAGATGCAAGAAATGGGGAGAGGGCTGAAGGAGGCTGGGAGAGCCATGAGACTGCAATGCAAGCTTAACCCCTGTGGAGGAGAGAGGAAAGGAAGGAAGCGGGTAGGGAACATTTCAGGTCATAGTGCAGTTCTAAGAAAGTTTTGGCAAAACCAACAAAGAGTCCTGGCTAGGCACAGTGGCTCACGCCTGTAATCCCAGCACTTTGAGAGGCTGATGTGGGTGGATTACCTGAGGTCAGGAGTTCGAGACCAGCCTGACCAATATGGTGAATACCCGTTTTCACTAAAAATACAAAAATTAGCCGGGCATGATGGTGCGTGCCTGTAATCCCAGTTACTCAAGAGGCTGAGGCAGGAGAATTGCTTGAACCCACGAGGCGGACGTTGTAGTGAGCCGGGATTGCTCCATTGTACTCCAGCCTGGGTGACAAGAGCAAAACTCTGTCTCAAAAAAAAAAAAAAAAAAAAAAAAAAAAAAAAAAGTCCTATAGCCAAAGTAACTTATCGGAAGAGTTTCCAGTTTTGTAGAAAGAGCCTCCCTTAGTATCCCCATCATACTCAGTTATTAGCTGCAAGCAGCCAGTGGAAAATGTGGTATTAGCACTAACACAGGGACAGATTTCAGAGCACAGTAGTTGGGGGCTTATATCAAGTACACATCTTGCAGCTGGAGAGTGAGAAAGTTAATTAAAGCTGAGGCAAGACTGTAAATATACACTGGTGTCTGTCCCAAGTGGATGTGAATTGTTCTGCTGCTTTTTCTGACTGGCATATCCAGCGTAATAGCTGAATACCATATGCTTAAGATTCTACCCTGGCAAAGATACCACATCAAGCACTATGCCTGCAATTGAGAATCCTGCTTGGTTGAGTTTGATTGTTTGCTGTTATTTTCCAGGATCCATTAGGTTTTTGTGGGATCCAGATGGCAAATTAAATGTGGATTTGATGGGATCTACCATCCCTGCGTCTTTCAGGTCTTTAAGGGTGGTACTGATATTTGTCATTTCCCCCCAAGGATGAATTTTTTTTCTTTTTAAATTTTGATATCTGGCTGGGAGGTTAGGCAATTTCAGAGGTTTTCTTTTGGCTTTTCCCACTATGATAGCTTTTGTCTTACAGTCAAGGAAACAATGTGGAGGTTCTGCCAACTACCTAGTATGTTTGTGTCGATTATACATTTGGTGACCAGGGAAATAATCATGGGGGAATCCATTGACATGGTGCACCCCCTATGAGCTAGACTTAGGCTAGGACTCCAGATACCGAGGTTTCAAAATCAGCTTGGATATTGACCCTGCATCCAACTGACCTGAAAATATTTGAGTATTACCCTTTCCCCAGTGTGCAGACTTACCTGAGGAAATTTCCATAGGTCTCTTTGGGAAAGGAGTAAAGAAGTCACTATCTTTTTAGATTCTTTTTTTATACAGTTGCAGGGTCTTTCCTTGTGGGGACCTGACTCCTCCTTCAGGCAAGAAATTCTGGGTTTAAGAACAGCTCAGATCTGGAAAAAGGCAATGGATTATGACTTTTGATTAGGATAGCTGTCCTCAGCCTCTCTCATTATCAGCTTTGATTTATTTTTATTGTAAAGACTGAGCAATCCTTTTGTTGGCTGCTTTTCTATCTTGTGCCTAAGAACTCTGTGTTCTCCTAACCAACTCAACAATTTTCTGAGGGTCATGGTCCTCTGGCTGCCACTCTGACCTTACTGCTCATTGTAATAACTGTGCCCAACTTGTTACTGGTGGTTAAGCCCTCCTGCCTGGCTTCTCTATATAGGGATCTTAACATCCCCATTGCTATCAGAGAGCTCAGTTCTGTAATGGCATGTCCTATAGTTGGCCCTCAGGATCTATTCCCAGCTCCCCTCCTGGCCTCGAAGCCAATAACTTAGGGTAGTCACAACATACGCTGGCTGTGGAAGTGCTGGGCATGTTAGCAAAGGAAAGGGACTATACCCCAAAGGAGGTGCACTCACTCATGCTGCAGAATTTAACATTCTAGTTAGTTCCTTAAGAGGTGGCACAAACATGCTGCTAGGATGGTTTTTGGAAGCTTGGAGAAAGCATGGCCTGCACCATCTGAACTAGAAATGTCAGAGTGAATGTGGCAGATGGTGAAAAAAGAGATGGAGCACACTAGAATAAAAATGCTATGTAAGGCTAGAAAACCCACTGGGTGACTATGCTCCTCTAAGGGCCCAGAGAACATTCTGTTTATGAAAACAATAAGGAATGTGCTGGTGAGATGAGAGGGTTACCAGCATCGCTGAGAAGCTTGTTAGTGGCTTTTTCACAGTCAAAGGAGATTTTTCTTTAAATTTAATTTTCTTGAATAAATACAAGAATAAGAGTTCTTTTGGGTTTAAAAAGTAAATAATACAGAAAATCATAAAATCAGGGAGAAAAACACTGAAATTTCACCATCCTGGGAAAATATAAACATTTTTGTGATCATCCTTTCATGCATTTCTCTATGCAGTTATACATCCCTGTGTATAATTGTACATTCGTTGAATGTCGTATCTCCTATTGGTACTATAGGAACCTTTCTTTTAAAAAGAATCTCATTTGTTCTTCCCCTGCCACTTACTAAAGCTTTCAATTGCCATTTCTCACCCTCCAAATCAAAGCTAACAATGTGTTGTTTATTTGTGTATAATTTTCTCTTGCTTTTAACACATACAATTTTTCTTTACCTTTCTAACTTATTTTTTCCAAAAATAGGATCACATTTCATAAAGTTTTCCACATCTTGCTTCTCTCCCTTAATATGTCATTTAAAGCCCCCAAGTTAACTTTTATAAATCAAACTCATATTTTATAATGACTGAAAAGCATTCTAGAATGCGGAGACACTACCAACATTCGACAGTTCTGTTACTGCTAAGCATTCACATGGTTTTTAGGTTTTATTACTATGAATGCCGTAATACATATCCTTGAACATATGTCTTTAATCACTGGTTTAACAGTTTATGCTAAACTTGTACCAGAGATTGATATAAAATTTCTCAGTCTGGCTATTTTTCCCCTCTTCTGATGATCAAGTCTCCATAGGCTTATTTCCAGAATTCAGAATATTTTACTAAGGATTTCCAAAATAAAGCCACCCTCCACCTTTGTTAAAGTTATCCTTGGTGGGTGTGGTGGCTCATGCTTGTAATCCCAGCACTTTGGGAGGCTGAGGTGGATGGATCACCTGAAGTCAGGAGTTCAAGACCAGCCTGGCCAACATGGTGAAACCCCATCTCAACTAAAAATACAAAAATTAACTGGGCATGGTGATGCATGCCTGTAATCCCAGCTACTCGGGAGGCTAAGGCAGGAGAATCGCTTGAACCCTGGAGGTGGAGGTTGCAGTGAGCCGAGATCGCGCCATTGCACTCCAGCCTGGGTGACGGAGCGAGACTCCATCTCAAAAACAAACAAACAAACAACAACAAAAAAAACCAAATAAAGTTATCCTTATAAATCACAGCTCAAATGTTACCTTTCTAACTTCTAATTGCCTACAAAATAAAGTCCAAATTTCTCAGAATGCATTCAAGACCTTCTCTAGGGGAGGACGAACATAACTTCCCACACTCATTTCTGTTTAGCTACCCTTCTTCTCTTGCTTTAAACACCTGTATCCTATACTTGGCAACAAAGAACAAGAGCCATTTTCCCAACAATGCCCTTTATCTCTTGCTATTGTGCCTTTACCCACTCTTAGACATTCTTATGCACCCAGACATCCCTTCTATGAAGCCTTTGCTAATAAAGACAAACAGAAGTTATCATAACCTCTTTTGTGCTTCCAGAGTTCTTGGCACATGGTTTCTTAAATAAGGTGATTTATTTGGAATATTTTTGGATTTACAGAAAAGTTGCCAATTGTAATACAACTGTATGCCCCTCACCCAGTATACCCTAATGTTAACATCTTATATTATCATGATATATTTGTAAAAACTGAGAAATCAACATTGTGATCTTACTATTAACTAAACTCCAGACTTCTTTGGATTTCGCCAGTTTTCCCACTAATGCCCTTTTTCTGTTCCGAGATCCAATCCAGAACACATGTTGCATTTAGTCATCATGTTGCTGTTGTGTAATGTCTTGAGTGCTGTTGTTCCATGCATTTTATCCAGGTTTTTAGTTATTTCATAAAGGAGGGTATAACTGGAAGCAAAGTCTAAGATTAGCTTTAAATAAAGCAAAAGGAAAGCATTGTTTTCTAATTTAAAATATATTTATCATCATATTTCAAGGGCAATATTTGTTTGAAAATAAAAGAAAAATCTCGTTCAGTTAAAAAAAAAAAAATGGGCTCCCAGCTGGCAAATGCCACCAACATAGCTTAATTTTAATTTAAATAAAATAGTTCTTGTGAGGTTACTCAGTGGTATACTGGAAACCTAAGAATGCCATTGCCATTAACAGAGTCCACAATCCCTCACCTCACTGCTTCCTTTCTCTCCTTATCACTTACCTATGAAACTGGATGGAGAGCTGCAGAAATGAGGACATTTACTAAGAAATTCTTTCCTAAGTGGTATGTGAAAGGAAAGTAAATTCATGTTAAGTCACATTAATCTATTGCCTTGGCTGTGTAGGAATCACTAAGAATTCTCACAACCTTAGCAAGAGTTGCAAAATAGAAATACAACAAAGCAAAGGTGAGAAAACAAACCACGTGTCTGCTTTTTAAACAATCTATTGATACAATTCACCACATTAAGAGATTAAGCCAGAACACCCATATGCTCATCTTACAGAAAGCATTTAAAATCCACACCTATTCATCATAAAATCTCATAACAAAGAGCGAGGAGTTTTTTTTAAACTGATAAAAGGCATCTACCAAAAATCTAAAACAAGCATTCTAATGGTAAAATATTATATGGTTTTTCTTAAAAATTATGAATCATGCATTTTATCTCCATTTCTATTCAATGTTGTACTAGAGTCCCAGGCAACACAGCAAGACAAAAAGGAAGGGGAAAAGGGGCTCTATAAACATTGAAATTAAAGAAGCAGAATGTATTGGAAGTACATTAAGTACATTAAAAGTAATGGCAAACAGGCACTTACTTTTGCACCAACCTAATAGTATGTGTAGATGTAATGATTAATTGCAAAGAGAAAAATCGCCCCAAATATCTACACTAAAATTATCAAAACTATCAAGGGAGCTGAATAGAAAATCAAAACCAAAAATCAATTTTATTTCTATATCTCAGCAAAAAAGAGCTTAGAGGCGGCATATTAAAAGTTATCATTTACTAATGAAAAGGCAAATTTGTTAGAAGAAAACATAATTTAAAAATGTGCGGTCGAGCACGGTGGCTCACGACTGTAATCCCAGCACTTTGGAAGACCGAGGCGGGCGGATCACAAGGTCAGGAGATCAAGACCAGCCTGACCTATATGGTGAAACCCCATCTCTACTAAAAATACAAAAAATTAGCTGGGCTTGGTGGCATGCACCTGTAATCCCAGCTACTCAGGAGGCTGAGTCAGGAGAATTGCTCAAACCAGGGAGGTGGAGGTTGCAGTGAGCCGAGAATGCACCACTGCACTCCAGCCTGGGTGACAGAGCAAGACTCTGTTTAAAAAAAAAAAAATTATATGGATAAAATTATAAAACTTTTGGAAAGGCATTAAAGAATAGACAGATAGGCCGGGTGCAGTGACTCACGCCTATAATCCCAGCACTTTGGGAGGCAGAGGCGGGTGGATCACAAGGTCAGGAGTTTGAGATTGGCCTGACCAACATGGTGAAACCTCATCTCAACTAAAAAATACAAAAATCAGCCGGGCATGGTGGTGTGCACCTGTAATCGCAGCTACTCAGGAGGCTGAGTCAGGAGAATCGCTTGAACCTGGGAGGCAGAGGTTGCAGTGAGCCAAGATTGCACCATTGCACTACAGCCTGGGTGACAGAGCAAAACTCCATCTCAAAAAAAAAAAAAAAAATAGACAAATAAACAAATTCCCTATATTCACTGATAAATGACACTCAGTATCATATCTGTTCTCTCCAAATTATTAATCTATTGATCCAATATAATTCTAATGAAAATTCCATTTTTTTCATGAAACATAACCAGCTGATTTTTTAAAATTATGTGAAAAAGCAAAGGATCAAGGCAAGAGGCTTGTGAAAAAAGAATTGGGCAGGGCAGAGGGGAAGCAAGAGTTTGTTCTCTAAGGTATTGTGATGTAATATGAAGCTACTATCACTAAGACGAGTGATATTGGCTCATGGGTAGACAAATATATCAACATAATAGAGAACATAATAGAGAACTAAGAAATAGAGCACATTATATTAGCAAGGGTAACCCTTGCTAATATCTAATACGATCTAATACAATCTAATACAATCACTAATAAAACCTGAAATAGCTTTACTTAACACAATAAAGGGTTATTTCTGTCCGTTTGGGCAGTTATAACAAAAACTGCCTTAAATGGTGTAGCTTATAAACAACAGAAATTTATTGCTCACAGTTCTGGAGGCTGGGAAGTTCAGGACAAAGCACCAGCTAATTCTTGTGTTTGTGGAGGGGCCATCTTCTGCACAGACAGCACCTTCCTGTTATATATGCACGTGGTGGAAGGGGGAGGGGGTCTCTTTTTTAAGGTCACTAATCCCATTCATGAAGCCTCTCCCCTTATGACCTAATTGTCTCCCAAAACCCTCACCTCCTAATACCTTGGAGGTTAGGATTTCTACATATGAATTATGGGGGGAAACAAACATTCAGATCAGAGCAATTTCTCACTCATAATACTAATTGATGAAGGTCATAGAACTCTCCCTGGTGCTCTCCTCCAACTTGGAGACCTTGGCTGCTTCCATTATGCAACTCCACATTAGGGGCTCTTCGCTTCTGGCCGCAGGATGAGAGGCAGCACGTGCACATGAAGACACACCTACTCTTAGGCGCCTATGACACTCCCACACATTCCCATTGGCAGAAGCTCAGGCACCAGCTCTCAACACAACCACACGGAAGGCTGGGTAATGAAGTTTTCTGTGTGCAGGAAGAGGCAGTGGCGTTGATGTGCCAGCATTTTCTCTGCCAAACAGGATGGAAACTTGATATATGACCAAACTGACATAGTGGATCCCTGGGGAAAATATCGATGATGTAAAAAATCATAATAATAAACGATGCTAAGAAGAAAACAAAAGTCTATTTCTTCTTTACACTGCACACAACCAAATAATTTTCAATTGAATTTAAAATTTAAATAGGAAGGACAGAAGAAATATAAGGGAATATCTTTATATCCCAGATATCTAGAAAGACAAACCACACAAACCTGGAAGGAAATGATTTTTAAAAAAGCACATCATCAAGAAAGAGAAAAGACAAATTATAAACTACTAGAAGATATGTGCAATACATATAACTGACAAGAAATTAGTATTTAGAATATATAAAGAAATTATACAAATTAACTATTACAAAAATACAAGTAAATTAGAAAAAAATGGGCAGGTGGTCTGAATAAACATAACACATAAGCAAAAATATGAATGGCCAATAATCAAATATAAACAACTCTACTTCATTAGTAAGTCAGAAAATCAAAATCAAAATCACGAGAAGATTTCATTTCATAAAAATTTGATTGGAAAAGTTGAAAAGTCAGAGAGCATCAGGTATTGGCAAAGAGGAAGAACAATAGGAAATCTTTTCCACTGCTACTGACAATATAAATTGATACAAAAAACTTGGGGACTGATATGACACTAGCCTATGAAATTAAAACTGTGCATATCCCATGAAATGACAATTCCACTTGTAGGAAAATGCTTTCATGTGTGAACTATGGCTAGATACTTCAACACAGATGATAATCTTGAGAATACAATACTGAGAGAAAAAAAAACAAGATTCAGAAGAATACATCATATAGTATATCATTTTTATAAAGTTGAACCAGGCAAGTCTAAGGGTATTGTTTCAGAATTCACACATACATGTGTTTAAAAATCCATGCTATAAAGAAAAACAAGGGAATGAGCAAAAGTCAAAATTTAAGGTAGAGGATACCTTTGACGATGTGGCAAGGGGGTGGGGCAGAGAGGAGTACACAAGGATCTTCAGGATGTCAAGAAAGTTGGACTTTTTAAGTGGGGTGATGGGTTCACAGGCATTCATTTTATTATATAATAAACCAGGATCAGCATAAATATTACCTTATGCATCAAATATTTAATTTTTAAAATTAAAACACACATGAACGCACAAGAAAAAAGAAGTAAGTACTCTGTAAACTGACCCGCAGTCAAGACAGCTGCTGATTTTGCAATTGCCTAGGAGCATAAAGACTGAGAGTATATGTTCTCTTTTTACACTGAGTCTACAGTGAGATCCTCTGTCCTAATAACATTTTAAATTTTGTTTCCCTTTTGCAATTACCTAAAAACTCCTCACAGTATAATGTATTCCATCTTTACTCTTTATTTAAAATCAAAATCCTCTTTTATTTTTTTCTCTAGTGGCCAGGTTCTAGCTGCTCTTCCTAGAACCTCTAGGCAAGTTCAAGTGCTACAGAATCTTACTACAACATATGAGGTAATTTCTCCCTAATTTATATTTGTATTGGTTTCATTTTGTATAAGCACTGGGTGTTAAGTTTCCTCCTGTATGTTGTCTGGCTTATATGTATCTGGTATGAACTCTTCTTCTCATAGCCTTCTCTCCCTTCTCACAATCACGTGACTTTGTTGGTTCCCCAGATCAAAACTTCTTCACTTGTGCTATTGGCTCTCCAGCCATTTTCATAATAGTACCTTGGGATTTAAAGTGTGCACTTACAAAGATGCTACAATAACAGAAATTAAAATATTTATAAATAAAAGCTTACTCATAAAACAATTGTTCTTAACCAAGGAGGTACCAAAAACACAGAGTACATTTATTAAAATTCTCACCCAGGGACCCATCTCGACATAATGTCTAAGATGTAGAAAATTGACAAGAATTACAGAATATTAATGGCAGTGGTGGCCATTGGGCGAGGCACGACTGGGGCTGTGTGTTCCACGGAGCCAGCAGAAGCCAGGAAGAGGTGAAAGTCCCGCCCCCTTCTGTGATAGCAGGGCAGGAGCCTCATGCTCTCCAGGCGCAGCTACAGCTGCCCAGCTGCAGCTACAGACC